AATTACATTCATCCTAATGCATGACCTTTACAATAGAGGGTTTTCTGGCACTTAAGGAAAAACGATGAAACAGTGAAGAATGCGAGAAAGGAAAAAAATTACAGAAGTCATTCATGCATAGAAAAGAAGAACACTCGTCTCTCGTTTAACCTATATATATATATATATGTACATAAGCAAACAAAACAGAACACAAAAGCAAACACAGGAACAAACAATATGCAGTAACCAATGAAGAAAAACAGATAATATTCACCATCATTATTATTCACCTATTTATTGCCTTCTTTTACCATCTCCATCATAATTGCATCAATTTCTATAGTGTTATTACCATAAAGGGTATAATTTCCTCGTTCACGGATATTTTCTCTCTTTTTCTTCTTCTTCAGCGTTCTGACAGAATGAACAGTATCCCAGAACAAGGAACAAATACATCTCCATTTGTAGCCTTATGGTCTAACACATGCACAAGGGCAATATACTGTTTATATCATTATTATTCTTTCTTCCTTTCTTTCTCTCTCTTTCACACGCTTTCATTTATCCATGGTAAAGAAGCTAATCTTGATTCATTCTCCTGTTATATATATACATATAAGAAAAACAAAAAAATAAATAAAAAGCTTCTGGATTGGATACAATTTCAGTTTAGCGGGTTTTTAATATTAATAATGACAAACATACAGAGAATATCTCTAGCAGGATGTACGAATGAATTTTTTTTTTCTTTACAGCATTTTTTAAATCTTTTTTTATTTGGGGGCTTATTCTCTCTACTGCAGGAACAAATCCGTTACATTTTGTAAATAAAAATCTAGCTCGTATCTATATAACTGATTAAGGAACAAGCATACCTCGGCTTAAAAAAAAAAAGTTTTTTTCTCTAAGTCTACGTATTTTTTGTTATCTTTTTTCATATCTTTTGTGCAATTAATAGGGTAATGCATCTTTCTCTTTTGAAGCATGACATATCTGATTGGATAATCTGTCACATTCACTTTATGCGGTGATATGTATAAGAAAAAAAAAGGGGGGTCTTTTTTTCTTTACATTTAATATAGAGCACATCATTTTCAGGAACTATGATGTAACACAAATAACAAATAAAAAAAAAGGGGGGAGAAAATATAATAAAATAATAATGGGAACACTAATCACTGGACTTTACGTTTTTACTTTTTCATTAAATCATAACGTGGGTAATACTGTCGGCGTCGTACGGACAACCCCTCGGGCGAGATATGTACACGTGACACAAAACGCTCGGGAGGCCTAACTCCCTAAACCACAATCAGGGCCACCAGGACTTGCCCCACCATTATCCTCCTCCTCCTCCTCCTCCTCCTACTCCAACTCGTCTTCCTCGCACCCGAACCACAACGACCAATAGGGGTCTCGTTTTGGTCCGTGTCCTCGCACACCTTGCCCGCCTCCCTCTTCCTCTCCCCCTCGACACTCCTGATGGCCCTTCGTCTCCGCCCTGTGCAGCTGTTCTTGTCCTCGAAGTCGTAGTCCTCCTGCTCCCCCTGCGGCCTCCGCCTCCAAGTCCGCCTTCCACGCTGAAAGAAGGTCCCATTGTCGTCCTCTCACATCAGGGGCTCCACATAGTTGCCCGGGAAGAGCCCCGTGACCCCATTCATGACTCCCTCCCACCAGCCGTCGTCGTTCTTCTTGATGACGTAGATGACCGCGTTCTCCGAGAAGCTCAGCTCGTCCTCTTTGTCGGCCGTGTAGTCATAAACTGCAATGACTGTGGGACGGGGGGGAAGGGGGTGCAGAGGAGCAAGAAAATGATGAATAGGGAGAAGAGTGGAGGAGAGGAGAGGGAGAGGGTGAAAGAAAGGATGTGGAGACAGGGAGAGGAGGGAAAGAGGGAGAAAGAAGGAGGACAGAAGGAAGGGTAGGAGCAGGAGAAGGAGAAAGAGGGAGGGAAGGAGGGGGGGCAGGGGGCAGGGGGAGGGGGAGGAGGGAGAGAGGGGGAGGGAGAGAGAGGGGGAGAGAGAGAGAGAGAGAGAGAGAGAGAGAGAGAGAGAGAGAGAGAGAGAGAGAGAGAGAGAGAGAGAGAGAGAGAGAGAGAGAGAGAGAGAGAGAGAGAGAGAGAGAGAGAGAGAGGGAGGGAGGGAGAGAGAGGGAGGGAGGGAGGGGGAGAGGGGGAGAGGGGGAGAGGGAGAGAGGGAGGGAGGGAGGGAGGGAGGGAGGGAGGGAGGGAGGGAGGGAGAGAGAGAGAGAGAGAGAGAGAGATTGGAATTAGGGGTGGGAGGGAGAGAGAGAATGAGAAAGAGAAAGTGAAAAAGAGAGATTGGAATGAGGGGTGGGAGGGAGGGAGGGAGGGAGAGAGAGAGAGAGAGAGAGAGAGATGGGAATAAGGGATGGGAGAGAGAGAGAGAGAGAGAGAGAGAGAGAGAGAGAGAGAGAGAGAGAGAGAGAGAGAGAGAGAGAGAGAGAGAAAGAGAGAAAACAAAAATACATTAGTCAATCATTTCCTTTCTTTTTCTGTCACTAAAGACTAAAATGTGTGTACCTGGAGAGCAGACTATCCAAAGAAACACTATTTATGATACAAAAAAGGATAGGTAAATATACTGTTACAAACATATGCAGGTACACACAAATGTAGAGTGGATATATATATAATGACAGACACACATATAAGGAAAACCACAGCAAGTGTGTGTATGTGTGTGTGTGTGTGTGTGTGTGTGTGTGTGTGTGTGTGTGTGTGTGTGTGTGTGTGTGTGTGTGTGTGTGTGTGTGTGTGTGTGCATGCGTGTGCATGAAAACCTGTGAAAGATGTGTGGAAGAGTGTGCGAGTATGTCTGAGAGCATGTGAGTAAAGTTATGTACATCTGTACCAACACTTAAAACAGATAGGAATATATAAAAAACCCAGCAACAACACTAAAGTAATTATAAAAAAAAAAAAAAAAAAAAAAAGGTATTCAGATAACATTACTAATACCAACTTCAACAATAAGAAAAATATTTATTACACAGAATTAATAACCCATTCACCCCGGGTTTATGTTCTGTCCCCTCTAGTTTTTGGTGAAATTTGTTACCTACAGATGGCTCCACATGTGCTCAGCCGGCAAGGAATCTATCAGTAGGCCCTAGTTACTGAGCCTGATTTTCCCATACATTGAATTGGCGGGAAAATTAATACCATTGCTATCGATACTGCTACTTTTGTTATTGATGGTATGATTATTAAATTGTCATTAGAATATTTTAGACAATGAAATGATACAAAAAACCCTTTCCTAAAGTGAGGGAAAAGGGTATACAGGTGCAATAGGTAGTTATTGATAACTGGCTATTTGGTGATTAAGAACTTGTGGAGCCATCTATGTGTATATACAATAAATAAACGTGTATCAAAGTGGGTATGGCATCTATTCTTGCCACGTGGGGGGAATGGGTTAAAAGAAATGTATAAAGATCCTAAACACAGGTAGAAAAAAAAAGTAAATTTCTAATTCAAATAGCTTTCACATAATTCCTGTCTCTAATTTAACACACACTGTTAGATGATAATGAGTTATTTTTAAAAGCAGGAAATCAGTGGATCATGCAACCTGTGCTGTAAAATAAGAGAAATACAAGAAACACACACACGCGCACACACTCGTATGTAGGTGTGCATGTGTAAGTGTTTCATGCCATGCTGAAAGACTAAAAATAATTTCAACATTCCTTAAAGTGACTATGAATCACTACTTTCATTAACAGTATGAACTTGAAGCCTTATTTGGCTTCTATGTAACAAACAAAACAAAACAAAAAAAGTTTAAGTGATTTTTCCAATATGTTAATTTTCAATGCACTTTTCACTAAAATAAATCACCATATACGCCCTATAAAAATAATAAATTACAAAACAACAGAAATAAAATAATAATAAAATAAAGTAAATAAAAACATATCACATAGTTTTTCTTCACTACTGGTTCATAACAATGAAAAAGCTAAATGATGGCACTGGAATTAATCTAAGAATCTATTTCTATTTTTTCTTCTTGGCACAATTACATAGTATGACTTCATTAGCACTTGCACAGTCAATACTTGCAGAGGAGATTCATTTAATATTCGTACAGGTTATTAAGATGTCTGTGTCACATTATGTCTAATTTCAGGGCTGTGCTGTATATTTGCCCCTTATCAAACTTGTTTTATGGATAACAGAATCCACAATTCCAAAACGAAGTGACATGCAACCTTTGAGAATACACATCTCGAAACGTAAAGTACAGGGGGTGAGTCTGGGAAAGGGAACTGCCATAGTTATATGCCCTTTTTATTTTAAATTGTTGCTTCCTTCCTCCATCTCCTTAAAAAAAAAAAAAAGAAAGAAAGAAAAAACTTTATAGATATGACTTGGGAGATTATCATCTGCCGAGAGCAATCGTGCACAGGAAAGTCTATGCAGGGATGATTTAAATAAAACAACTGGAGAGTGAGTAACGTATTCCAGGACACTGCACCTTGTTTCTGCTGATTCCAACATCTCAGGAGTACTCTGTGATTTTCCTATATCGAAAGGATGGATATTTGGTCACCGCTTATCCTACATACTTGTAAACTTGTAGTCTATAATCTTGTCTAGTTCAATATATATCTCTTTATTTTCGGACTTTTAGCTACGGATTAGGTAAAAATCTTGTGGAAAAATCCCACAAAATTACTATTATTCAAATAACTGTATCAAGATTTATGAAATTATAACTAATCTCTTGAAATAAAATTTAAATATCTCCAAAAAATTACTGTGGGTACAAAATATAAATATCGATATAAAGCTAGAAGAATGTTGAATGTTTTTTCTATTCTTTCAAGCAGCCAAAACTGCAAAGAAAATACAAGCTACTTCTGAAGTAAAATCTTATTACATACAAACTTTATATTGCTGTTATGTTACATACAAGACACAATAATAATAATAATGATCTTTATTAACTTAGCTATAAGTCCTCTGCTCAGGCTACCTTCCTCAAAAAGTCACTACTTCCATTATCAAATTTCTCTCTCTCTTTCTCTCTCTCCCTTGCACAAGCAATTTGCAATTGCATCAATTGCCAGTTTATTGACAGTCAACAATTGACAGATTTGGTTTATGTGGTCATTTCATTTAATATTTACCTACTATGGAGATTCAACCTATGTTTTGCCCAGAAAAACATACATCTTAAGAGACAACTCCCTCCTATAGACTTATCATTAATAGTAATAATAATAATAGCAATAATAAACAATAACAATAATGAAAATAAAGTACCAGCAACAATAATGAATCAAGAAATTCAGCCAAAAGCTTCATGCTATATCAACCTTTTGTGGACAGAGGAAAATTTGCCACAATTTTCCACAGAAGAAAGCAGAACTTCATTTCAGTGACAAGAAAAGCCAAGAACGTTCCTCTAATTATAAGCAAAAAAACATTCACATTAAGATTAAACTTATGAACGAAATCAAACCACCGTATTGATACAATCTTTCAAAACCATATCAAAACCTTAATTTAATCATTTCTTTATCCACTGACTGATTTTTTTGTTTTCTTGTTTTTTTTACCTTTCTCCAAGTAGTGGGGGGGCACCGCTGGGGGGTTAGGGCCTGGGACACGGTGAGGGGCTGGGTCGTCATTCATGGCTACAACGAACCAAAGGGAAAGGGGGGAAAAAGGTTTCTTTTAATAACACAAACCTACGACAGTTAACATGTAGATGCAGCTATGTCTTTCCCTCTTTTTTGGGGGTAGGGAGCTTTGTTATAGACACTTATGAAATTGTTGCGTCTTTTGCTGACCTTTATGAAAGTGACTACTACAAGAAAAAGGCATAGCTGCATTCTGTTTCTTTCCCCTCCACTCCAATTTTCACAATTACTCCTTTTCACACTTTTATTCTTTTCTCCTTCATACGCCCAACCAGTTACTTCACACAAATGCATTCAAGTGTAGTCATGCATGAATATGTACACACACACACACACACACACACACACACACACACACACACACACACGTAAATATACAAACAGAAACACACACAAACACACATGTAAATATACAAACACACAAATAAACAAACAAACAACCACACACACACACACACACACTCTCTCTCTCTCTCTCTTTCTCCCTCTTCCCAACCCACATCTTCCCTCTAGTTCTCCCCCTCCCCCTCAATCTCCTCCTCTCCTCCTCATTCCTCCCATCATTCCAAAACAACGGGAGCAAGAAAAAAACGAAACCGAAAAACCGGAACCCCGGGCACTGACCTTTCTCCATGAAGTGTGGGGGCACGGCCGGGGGGATGTCGGTGTCGCTGGGGGGCGGCGGGGGCAGGGGGGGTGACGAAGCTCCCGATGAGCGGCTGTTGTACTCCTGCTCGCTCACTACCCCGGAGGAGGCTGGCGACGGGGGGGCTGGGGTGAGGGGATGGAGCATGGAAAGTTAATTATAGGAGCATTGAGATTATATTCCTAATATTCTCATTTCCTTTTTATCATCATTATTATTCATTTACTTTTTTTTGCCAATAAAATTTGAAGCCATATGTACATTTTTTTCTTTCGTGAAACTGGAAGGTGATTGTAGTGCCAATAACTTATTAGATTATTTTTAACTAATGCAATAAGTACAAGACATGAATGTGAGCCATTACATCAAATCGACAATATTACTATGCATGTCTATTAATAATTATCAAATAAATACTTCAATGAAGAATCTAATTTGAGTGTGAGTGTGTGTGTGTGTGTGTGTGTGTGTGTGTGTGTGTGTGTGTGTGTGTGTGTGTGTGTGTGTGTGTGTGTGTGTGTGTGTGTGTGCACATACTTGTATGTGCATATGATCATAAGTGCCTGTGTGTGCATGTCCAGTGTGTGGTGTGATTTAATGTGAGTGTGTGTATGGGCACAGGCTGTGTAAAGATGAGGGTAAGGGTGAGGGTGAAGGTGAGGGAGAGGGTGAGGGTGAGGGTGAGGGAGAGGAGGGAGGGAGGGAGGGAGGGAGGGAGGGAGGGAGGGAGGGAGGGAGGGAGGGAGGGAGGGAGGGAGGGAGGGAGAGGAGGGAGGGATGGGGATAGGGGTAGAGATGAGAGTATAGGTGATGATGTGGGAGAATGCGTGTGCATGTTTGTATAGTACTGTAAATGTATGTGTCCTTGTATACTGCAAATGAGTATGAGTATGTCTATGTGCAATGCATAATACATCTAATTTATTTTCTTATCATCTAAAGTAAGACTGAAGTTTGGCAAACACGTCTAAGAATAAAAAGCAAAAGAAATTATTCAAAGATTCTTGGAATTTGAATATTTAAAAAAAACATGTCAAAATGATGATAATGTCAAGACTGTTGGTAGGCATGAGTTTATATGCTTTTAACTAATCAAAAACATTTACCACAAAAATTCATATCAAATCTCTCTATTTGGAAACAAATACAGAGACACAAAAGTGCACATTCGTTTTAAAAATACACGAATTACGAAA